ATCCCCCCGGGCGTTTCGCGTTTGGTAATGTGAAACCCTGTTCCGGGGAAAACCCGGGGTGTTCCTTCCCGGTTTTGTGGGGATGGGGGGTCAATGTTTTAAGGATTTGGGCATCCCCGATTTGGGCCCCCCCCCCCCCCCCTCCGTACACATACTCTATCCATGTCATCACCGGTGGCGTGAGGGGGTTAATTTTCGCGAGGAGAGAAGTCGGAGGGACCCTAGCAACTTCCACGGTGGGGGGGGGGGGGTGTTACTGCGGGCGATATTTGTTGCGCAAGACTGCCACCGTTCTACTCCTTATGTTCAACTCCACCGTAGTCGTCGTTGCCAAAGCCCATGCGAGCTATGCATACTCCTTACTTTTTGTTTCCTAAGCATACGTACGACGCTTACACAGTGAGAACAGCAGCAGATAGGAGTGGTGACTTTCTTTCTACCAACGATGGCGTTGCCCCCGCATTCCAGTCAAGAACCGTTCACTCCGCCGCAAGACGTCCCGGTTACATACACTGAGTTAGGTTTGGCCCTAGCTGAAGTACTGTACGTGTTTAGACTACCGGAGTTGTTGTTTTCCACAACAATAGGGTGTGGTGGGCATGTGCACCGGTGAGCCGATACCTCAGACAAAAACGGACGGTGCTTTTTAGGAGTACATCAATCATCTGTGTGGGTTATCCATTGAATAGCCGCACTCAACATGTTGTACTACTGTACACAGCAGTAGAACCACAGCTATGAATAAATACTTTACAATTTACAATAGGTAGACCTCCCCCCCGCCCCCCCCGACCAACATCATGACGGCCAGCCTTGGGAGCGTCCGTTCATCGTTTCCACTGGGATGGCCTTAGGCGCTTGCTAGGATCTATTGGGGGCGAGGAACACGAGGGACTCGGGGGAAAAACAGGTACCCTCACTTCTTCTGTCGTATGCATAGGGTTCGATCGGGTGGCATGATGAATTTGCGGGGGTCTACGACACGTGCAGTAAGCTCCAGATTTATGAGCGGACAGCCAGGAGCGTGTCGCAACTTTCTGTAGGCAATACTACACACAGATTCTTCTGAATAAAATCCGTCTATCTCCGTCCATCGACAAGGGTCTACTGTTCTGCTGTAGGAGAGCAATGAATGAATTTCACAGATTAGGGAGCCCTACATTTGTTTCTACGATTCCCCAAGCGGCATACTGCATACATACATCGATATCTCCCCGCGGGTGTTGTTTTACGAAGTACGGTAAGACGCACCAGGTATACTACAATAAATATATGTGTGGTAAACATAGGAGTACATAACAACAAGGATGGTTGATCCGGCCTAGCAGGTTTTCTCCCGAAAGATCCACCGAATGGTGCCGCGATTACCGGGGGGGGGGGGCGCGTGTTGTATCGACACAAATATGAAACCGTTCCATCTCTGCTAGCACCGGACCGCCGTGCGTGTCCACCACCTGATGCCAATGATGGTCGGTGCCCACAAGAGCGAAACAAGAGGGCTAGGCTATGTAGACTTTACAACATCAACACGGACGCGGTGTGATGCATGCATACACATACCCTCATGCCACCGTTTTTACTTCACATTATTATATACCAAAAAAGTCGCCGGAATGCTTCCGCCTTGATGCCGCACCCCTGCGGAAGGAAGTGCGCACAGCCGACGAAGAGGTGCTAACGACTGGCTTGCTTGATCGAAAGCTGTGTCGTGTAAGTCTAAGCCGCGGCGCTAGACGGGTTTAGGGCTACAATAGTAAGCCTACAAAGTCACGGGCCAAAAAAAGGTAAAAAGCTGCAAGGTCGCTGCACGAGCTGCACCTACATACTGTAGTCTACACGCGCAAGGAGGGTACGAGAATCCATTTTAAATTCCAATTTTTTCTGTTTTTTCGTTTTTTTTCCAATTGGGTTGGCAGCTATTATCATCGATGGGATGCACGGACCATCCATGTGTTGAAAGTCTTTGCAGTGAGTGGGGGGGTAAACCTGCTGGGTGCTGGACTTACTTGTTCTTACATGCGCTGTAGGCTGAAAGCAGTATCGAATAGAAGCAAAGAGGGCATGCAGCACAGGTACAGAAATAATAAAACATAGACTACATGCATGCATGAATGATGTATGTGTGTGTGTGGCACAGCTTGCATTTGCATACTGCATACAGAATTTATGCTCCAGTGTTGTCCAGACTTCGAAGAGAATTTTTCGGTTGTCGGGGAGTTAGTTGAGCAAGCAAGGAAGCCGTCGATCAACGAGAGGCAGCAGCATTCACCGTCGATTGGCGGCGCAAGGGACCTCTCCGCTCATCGGATATTGTAGAGGGCGGACATCATAATCAAATCTCGAAAAAAATCTGTCCGCCCGCCCGACCCATGTTCTTCGTTCTTCTTCGATTTTGCTTGACATCAACCATTTTGCAGAGGTATAACAACGGATGGGGCGCTTGCCACCCTCCAAATCGGTCTGGAGGTTTGGATATCTGCTTCCGACTCGGCACAGCACACATCCACACGTGAAGGGTCCACCGAGGCCGAATTGAACGCATGCATGCTCATCAATCAGCATAATTCGTTTCGTTTGGTTTCGCTCCGCATTTTTTTTTTCTCGTGAGCGACACCAGCCGGCCAGCAGGTTCGGGAATCACACACATCCACATCCATCCCTCGTGTCTCTTCTCACCTGCGTTCGTGTCGCTACAGACTATTGCCGACGTCCGCTGTGCACCCCCTGTCTGCATGCAAGAAAGGGAGAGCGCTGGTCGTTTTTGTCTGATCTTCCTGTTGGGCACAGGCGGCCGGACGGTTCGTCTTTGGCTTGAGGTTGCGAGATGAAACCGCCCCATCAGTAGTTCGGCTCGAGTTCGAATAAAAAAATTATTTCTCACCCCCAGACCCCCCCCCCGCCTTTCTGTTCCGACTCTCTACCAAACCCCATAATGCGTGTGCCTCTCTGTTCTTCTTGAAAACCTGAAGTAGCGCGTTCTAGCTTGTAGCGCGGGTAGCAGTGAGGGAGAGAGAAATAGAGTGGGAGCACTACTACACGGAACCTTAAGCCTCCTTTGCTTTCAGTGTTATGAGGAGACATTCCCCTAAACGGCGACAATACGGTAGTGCAAATGGGAATGGGGGTGACTTTCCGACAGCAGCAGCAGCAGCAGCAGCCGCATCATCATCATCATCATCCGGGCTCGGAAGGTCTCGTTCAGCTCCTTCGGAGACAGGTAGGTTCTTCGTCTTGTTTGACATGGCTCAGTTTGCTGACCTGTGTTGCTGGCAGTGTATGACCCGCGCGACTGGCTCCCAGCCGACGTAGTCTTAGGACTCGGAACTCGAACGAGCTCGCCCAACACGTTTCGCCGGCTTCCCTTTTGCGACTTCAAAAGTTTGCTAATACATATCCTCTTTTGCCAGTAGAGCACACGATACTGCTGCTTGCTGCCTGTAGTTTCTCTTCCACGTGCTCTCGCGTAGCAGCTTCTCTCTGCCGCTGACGGGAAAATGCACGCTTCGATTTCGTCCAGCTGTTGACCTCTGAGGTCGAAATAGGACAAGGTCGTGTGCGTTTCGGTGCACTGCTGTCACCTCTGTATCAAGCTTGTGTTGTTGTGCAACAACGACCCGACATGTTCCGGTGTTGTTGTGTGTGTGCATAACATTCTGCGCCGAGCAAGTTTTCACACGTGGATAAACTTCTTTTTGGTCACACATCCAAAAAAGGAAGAGCACCTGCTGTAGGTTTGTGGAGCCAAGGCGCGATGTGTGAACTCAGCTGGGCATTTATGCCATATCGAACTCAGTGATGTAGACTTACTACTGACGGCATCGGATTGGTTCTTTGCAAACACGTGCGTGATGGGGCGCGAACATTGGTCCGCCGAGCCTTCTCGGCAAGTCGGCACGTTGGTGGCTATTCTCGATGCCCTAGGCCGCGCGGTGAACATTGCGCTGCTGCCCGTGCGTCGCATAGTTGAAGGCGTACGTTGCTGTATGCATACTTGTCCGGCCGGTGTTTCGTTATCAGAGGTGGTGCTTTCGCACATAAAGATATCATGTGTCCAGCCGCACACGACATTTCTTCCGCCAAAGGCACCACTGCATGCATGAAAGCATTCGCGAGTCTGCAACTCTGCAACCGACTAGTCACGTCATTTCAGATACACGACACCAGCAGCAGTGTAGCACGTGCTTAAACAACGAGATACGGTATGTTGCACCTCTGATCGTCATGTACAACAGTAGTAGAGTGCCACGTGGTGACAGCTGCTGGCGTGTTTTTTGTCTCTTGAACTGACGGGAGACTGTCCGGTGTGTGCCCAGTCAGTTACTGCGGTGGCGGTACACTGCGGTGGGTCCGTAGTTGGTATGTACAGCAGTAGATGCAATAGTAGGGTGGTGATTTCCTACGTACGTTTTCGACGGCTCCACCGACCCTCTTGCTTGTTGGAGTCAAGGCCACGCTTTGTGGAAGGGTAAGACCACCACGACCACCGAGTGTACATCTCCGATGATGTTATACATTGTGCAAGGCTTCCCTTACGGCGTTTGGTGACTTGCCTCCCGGGGGCGACGCAAAGAGGACATGGTCAATGTCGTCGCGGCCGCATCGTTGCATCCCAACGCCAAAATGTTCGTATTAGAGCCGGTTTTGCTTATTACCTGCAGAATTTGCCTGGAATTTTGCATCATGTGCGGGGTATTTTTTTTCTCGCCGCGACTCTTCGCATGTGTGTGAGTGTGTCCTTTTAGGCTAGTGACGTCTTTGCTGAAGGTCCTATTGCTGTAATCCGCTGCGTTTGATCCACTTGCTCTTATGTATTCGTGTTTCCCATGGTCTGTGGGACGTGTGTGCCTTGCGCAGGAATCGATCCAAAAGTCTTCCTGTTTATGCAAAGGAGTTTTTGTTGTATTTCTTGCGAAGGCTTTCTTCGCACGGAACACGTCCCCGGGGCACATAGCCAGTTTTTTCAACTGTGGGGGTCAAGCACAAGCGCCACGGGTGGCTGGCGGTCCTCCGGCGTGCGTGGTAATGTACCGACGACAACCCTGCGTGCCCCTGAGAAGGAAGCGTGAGAAAAGACTCGATTACGCCAGCGAAAGGTATCTTGAAGCATAAACATATGTCGATTCTACACCAGCAGTTTCAAGAACCCTTTCTTACACATCACGGCAACTCCATCTCGGTGTTTCGTTGCTGAGTGATAGTTGATGGCAGAGCACTGACTTCCATAATCACGCCCCCCGCCCCCGCCCCCCCCTTTCCCCGGGGATTTGCATACTACATGACGGTCTGTCTCGTGCATTCAGTTGCCCCATCGAGGCTGGGCTCTCCGTACCGTAAACGCAACGCGCCATCATCCCGGCCGGATGCCTCCTCCGTGAGATCGAAGTCGGTGTCGGGGTCCGCGTGGGAGGCGGGGGGTGCTCGCGCGTCAACCCGGTCTGTTGCAAGGGACGACTCAATGCCTCCTTCCTCGTGGTGGGGACCGGGGCCGGTTCTTCTGCGGCCAATCATCAAGGAGGGCATCCTCAAGAAGCGAGGGGGAAGGATTAACGCTTGGGGAGACAGGCACGTTTTACGGCTGTTGAGGTATTCACGCGGTTTCTGCCGTGATCGAGAGGAGATTTGGGGATGTACTATTGTGTTGATGCGCCACCATCTCTGCTCCTTTGTCTGGGCGCTTGCGGACGTCGCATTCGCGTGCTGCGCGCTGATATGTACACTTACGTTTCTTTCCCTCGACTTGTTTGAACCCTATCCTGATAAACGCTCAGGTACTTTATCTTGAGAGAGGACTTGCTGGAGCAGTATGCCAAGGGCGAAAATCCGGTAAGCCTGTGCTTCTAGCACGCATCGGATAGGCATTTCGCTAATCGGCGACCAATATTTTCGGCGAGAAAATGTCTCTTTGAGGGGCTGTGTCATTTTCGACTTATGTCCTTCCTGTTAGTGTGTTTGTGTTGGGAGCAGCACTTGATAGTATTCCAAATGGAGGGTATTTTCTTAGATGATGATGAGGGTTTTGCATTGCAGGTGCCCCTTTTCGACCTCGGCAGAGCTGCTTGGTTTTCTTTCTTTCAGCGGCTAGGCGAATGGAAAAGGGCAGGGAAGCGGATAGGGGGGATCCAAGAATTTTCTTTTTGTCAACACGACGCCGCTAGTGTACTTTTCCACTTCAGCTTGGCGGAGGCGCGAACCCGCAGACGGGTGACCCCCCCCATCATCGGCCACTTGTCTCGAAAATCTGGCTGTCGTTTTCGCACAGCATCTCCCCGGCGCTTCGCTCCTGAACTGCGTGAGTCACCCGGCTGTACGTTGTTTTTCGTGTACGGTAACGTCTTTGTTTTTTTGGTTTGGTTCGGTCGCAGGCAAATTCCCAGCCGAAGCACTGCTACGCGTTGGACCCATCCTGCTCGGTGTCCGACATCAAGGAGGCCAAGGCCGGGGGTCGACCCCTCTACTACTTTGAGCTGGCGTGGCCGTCGCTATCGGCGTTCAAAGAGGAGGCGGAGGACGAAGGGGATGCCGACAGCGGGAGGTGTGCATATGCGTTGTGCACGGCAGTGGCGCGTTTGACCTATCGTTGTTGTTTCTCGCAGTATAAGGAACAGAGATGGCAGTTGCTGAGGTACCCTTGTTCCGCCCGTAAGCGTTCGAACTAAGAGCGGGGCGTTGAGTGGTAGTGGATGCCTTCGTCTGGGAAAGTGGTGCGTGTGTACGGCGTTCAAACCCTCGAAAATATGCGTGTGGATGAGGAGTGTGTTGAGGTCGAAGTGTGGCGTCTTCCGGAAAGGCGTGATTGCGTTCGCGCACCTAGCGGGTGGTGACGCACTACCTGTGCCGTGCGCACTACGCTGATATCCACACGCTTAAAACAAGTGGTGCCGTGGGGAACACTGCTGTACTGGTGTTGTAGGGGGCCCACGGAGTTGACGCACAGCCACACGGGCACCGGTTGCATCCCGTGCGCACCAAGCGTTCGCCTCGTTACGATTACTGTCGTTGTCACTGGTTCCAACAACCCCAAACCGCACGCCCCTGTCAACCGACCAACGAAATACTCACGATGAACACATTTCTCGCTCCCAATAACCCTTCGGTGGCTGTGCTGGACGGCGGTGCTTGACGGCAACCTGTTTGCGTATCGCAGCAGGTCTGACGCCGAGGGGGACGGCCGCGAATTCGAGGCGGCAGCTATCAACGCCACCAGCTCCCCGGGCAGCAACATCGACACGCCGTTGGACTCGCCCACGGACGCGGGGAACAAGGGGCGGGGGTACGGGTCGGAGGATGGGCTGCTGCCCGTGCCGGTGGGGCCGCCTTCGATGGAGCGAGTCAACAGCAGCAGCTCGCTGACGGGGTAGGTGCCACGCGGGTGCTTGGGTGGTGCGAGAGTCGCTTGTAGAGCTGATTGGTCGACGCTTTTCTATGCAGAATCAATGGGATCACGTAACGATCCGTACTTTCTCTTCTAAGATGACAATCGCTGTTTGCAAAGTGATTTTTTTTCTGGTGTCGACCCTTGACAAGCCTGATTGCTGTTGTTCTCTTGTCATTTGCTTTCGAAAGCGACCTTTTAGAAACTTTGCTTCTGCTACTGGAGTTGACGCAGGTTGTGATTTTGGCGTGTTGTGTTTTTTTGTCACGATCCCCTCAACCATGGTGGTACCCATGTTACGAACGGGCCGGAGGGGGTGGCCTGTGCGGTAACCCGGGGTTGGCAGCTAATCGTGGCGAGGAGGTAGGACTAGGCACAGTGGTCGCCGCCACCGGAGAAGAAGATTGCATTGCCGACATCCATCCATTCCCCAATGAGGGTATTCGGAAGGGTTCCGGCTGTCGCTGCCGCCGTGCTGTTGCTGCCCCTGTCAACCTTGTGCTTGTTTCTCTCTCTCCCTCTCTCTCTCTCTCTCCCTCTCTCTCTCTTTCTCTCTCTCTACTCATCGAAACTTGGCGTGTTGTTGGTTCGTGGGGCTATTTTCGTTGGCAATGCAGGCAGCCAGACTCGAGGTTCCGACGGCCCAGGAGCAGCACTACGAACGGGCCGGGGGGGTCGGTGACGGTGTCGCCGAAGCCGTTCCCGCACAAGCGAAGCACGGGCGGGGGGGGAGAGGAAGGGGACGATACGGTAAGAAAAATGCTGGGCAACTTGAGCTCGAGCGCTTGAGCCATTTGGCGATTGCTCGTATGCGTACCGACACTCTTAGTACAATGAAAAATGATTGAGTGAACGGCACCCTTGTGTGGTTCACGCAAGCCGAAGGTCTTGCCACTAGACTAGTTAGCTGACGTTTTCAATGACATGATTTGGTCTTCTGAAGGTTGTTTTCTGTATGATCGGGTGGTGAGGCGTGGTGAGCTGGGGCGATGCAGGTTGACTGCCAGCGCTCTAGAAGCAGAGTCGCAGTGTAGGGCCGTATCGTCGAGCAGACAGACTGGAGGCCGCACATTCGTCCCGTTTCTTGTTCCGGCACATGTGTTGTACGTCACTTGTGTTGGATGGAGGCCTGCATGTCTCCGATTCGGAGAGCCCCCTCAAACAGAACACGCCCGCAGCTAGCGTTTCGTGATTGTTTACTCTAATTAGGCTGCTGCTGTCTACGAAGTAATGTTTGTTTTACCGCCTGTGCGTGCTTGAAAATGGTGTTGTCGGCAGACGCGCAATGAGACCATCGAGGGCATGGTGGCGGCGCAACGCGAGAATGAGACGAGGATGGCGAGGTTAAAGCTAGAGGAGCTTGGGCAGGTAAGGCTTCCTACTTCAGGAAAGAGCGACAAGGTTGATTTGCTGACTTGGGAGCCGCCGTTCGTCGTTGTTTTCGCTCGATGTGCGACCTGCCTGTCTCAGCACGTGCACGCAAGTTGCCTTGGGATGCTCTTGAGAGAGAGAGAGTTGCCTTGGGATGCTCTTGAGAGAGAGAGAGAGAGAGAGAGAGAGAGAGAGAGAGAGAGTAGAGAGAGAGAGAGAGAGAGAGAGAGAGAGAGAGAGAGAGAGAGAGAGAGAGAACATGACTAGTCACGATACCCCGAGATGGCGGATTGTTGTGTTGGAGAAATGGTATTCGGATGAACTTGCATTCCTTCAGCAGTATACAGATGACGGAACTATTATAAGCTGCTGCCTCGAAAGGGGGTCTTGGGCGGCTAGGTGTGCGAGTCGACCTGCTTTGTTTTGCCCTTGGTGTTGCGGCCCAAGCCCTGACCCGTCTGTCTGTGCATGAGACTCATGGTGTGTTTTTTTACTCACCGTTTGGCTCGGCGATTCTCTATGCAGTCGCTTTTGGCGGCCCGGTTCAGTTTGCGTTTCCGTGCTGTTGCTTCCGCCGGCGATCATGTTCCTACACACTCTTCCTTTTGCTGCTGCGGCCGCCCTTCGCGCAAACAAACTTCGGACCCAGCTGTCGGAGTACGAGCGAGAGAAGGAGCGGCACAAGAAGAAGAAGAAGGACGGGAAGGGCGTTCTCAACACCAAGGGCCAGGCCGTGGCGGCTACGGCGGTCGGGGTGTCGTGGCTGACGGCGGGCATCTTGACCGGAGGGCTTGTCGTCGCCGGGACGATGGTGGCGGCCGGTGTTACCGTGGGGTCCGTGGGGGGTGAGAAACAATTCTTGGGGGCTTGCCTCTGTCGCGGGATATACCGCTTCTCGGTTGTCGCGCACTTGTTTGAACCTTCCCATCTGTTCCGAGACGGCCGGGATGGTAACAGCTGTGTTGCTTGGATGATGGGATCGGCGGGACTGTAGTTGTTTGATGTTTTCGTTCGGCCCTGTGTTGCATGTTGAGCCACACTTGCGCGCAGTGGTGTGATTTGTTTAGTCTGTCGTCGCGCGGTAAAGCGTTCCGTATGACCGTCATGCAGCCGTCGATGCAGGACACATGCCGTTCAATTTTGGTTTCAACAACACCTCTCCAACCTCGGAAAAGCGCAAACCCCATTTGTCGCCTTGCCTCTCTCTCTCTCTCTACCTCTCTCTTCCGTTCTTTTTTTTTTTTAATTTATTGCTGTACCTACTCGCGTCACGTCACCTGACGGCGAGAGCAGCGTACAACAAGTACAAGAGCTCAAAGAAGCCCAACGGCTCGCCGGGTCGTGTGCGCGTCGCAAGCTTCAAGGTGCGTTGGTCCCTCTTGCGTTCCACTGTAAAACCTGTCCTTATTATATCTTCATCTCAACAGCGCTCCCGTATGTATCAACCTCCCGTACTCCCCGCTAATACAGCAGTATTGCGCGCGCGTGTGGTTTCTTCGGTTGGCCTAGCCTGTTTACGCCGCCTTGCTCTGTCGAACTGGACTTTGTCATTCATCCTTTGCGACGAGAAGACTTACCGCCTGCAAATTTGTTTAGTCCGAGTAGTCGATCTGGTATCTGGTACTTCTTTAGGACCACAGGTTTTTACCTACACCAGCATGATGGTCTTTTGCGCTGAGTCGCCATCGTTTTGTGTCCGTGTTTTCCTGGTTGTTGTGGCGCTCTCGGCGGATCGATGCCCAGGCCGAAACCGTGGAGCAGTGGAGACAGGCCGTGCTGGACCAGCTCGAGAACCTCCGAGCGCAGCCGCGACAAGACGTGGAAAGATCGATGTGGACCAAGTCGGGCCTGGGGCTGGGGCTACCCGGGTGGTGCGTTAGACCAGAGGGCCCCCCGCCCGCCCTGAAGGCGATCGACTTGAGAGTGGTGGATAGCTTGCTCAGCAACTCGGTGTGGGTGAGTGGTGCTGCTTGCTGGTTACCACGGACGCGCGTCTGGGTCATGTCGTTTCCATGGGGGCGCTCGTTTGCCGTCGTGGGTGGATGTGATGCTGTGCCGTGCTCTAGTGGCGGCGGCGTAAAGGCGGCCGGCCACCTGGGCACCTGGGCACTGGGCATCTGCAAGGACGTTGCCGCGTGGACGCCACGTGTTTTTGAAGGGCTCCATTGGTTTCAGGGTTGGCGGAGGTGCCTGCCCTGACCGCTCTCGTTGATATTCGGGCGCGTGAAGTGCCGAATCGGTTTGTATTGTTGTTGGCGAAGGCGTGTTACTCAACCCCCGTCTTCTGTGCGTCTGGTCTGCTGTACCCCCCTCACCGCGTTGCGTAGGTATCACGAGGCGTCACGCACGGGTTGCCAGTGTTGCAGCAGCAAGTGGGTGCCGTCGCCGGCTTGGAAAGCGGGTCGGACAGCGAGGAGTGCGCCCAAGCCGTGGCGCAGCCGAGCTGGGGGCTTGGTGGCTCGGGACCCGTTCTCAAGACGCAGACCATCGTAAGTGTTGTTCAGATAGGCATCGTGCTTTACCTTGCTGATGCGTGCTCCAGTTGGAATGAGCGGGCGATGCCTGTAGAGGCGGCGAAGGACCCGCCGCGTAGAAATGGTGAAACGGTTCCTTCGCGGGCCGGCAAGGATGTCCGCCCGGCGTATAAGCTTTGGAAATCGCGCCGGGGTAGCTATTCGGGGGCGGGAATATTCTATTGCGCTGGATGCACAGGCTTGATGGCGAGGCTGGTGTAGCGAAAAAAGGCTACAGCGCCACTTAGCCTGTCCCGCTTTGCGCTTGGAGGTGTGTTGGTTTTGCGGAAACCCGGACCCACATTCGAAGTGTCCTGTCCTCCCTTGAGTTGGCGGGGATACGCAGTCATGATCATTGGAGTTGGCAAGGTTTTGGGAAAACCCGGCAAGCGCCCTCGTCATCCACCATGACTCATTGTACAATGCACGGGTTTTCCACGGGTTCCATGGGACAGACATGAGAGAGAGAGATCTAGTCGCAGAGACTTGCTCTCTTCGAAGGAGATCGTGCCGCCTCGACGCCCCAACACGACGGGTTGCCGTGCGAGGCCCGTGTGTATTCCGTTCCGCCATGGAGCAGAGAGCGTTACAACTGCCCCCAGAGAGAGTATTCCTCGTGGAGCATCTTATCACGGAGCCCCCCCCCCCCCCCTGTTTCATTTGGAATGCCGCGGCCGATTTCTAACCCCAAGCAGCCCTAGCATTGTAGAAGTACCGATGTTGAGTGTCACATCCGTCTCTCCCCCCAACACCGCTCGTACTTGCCACCTAAAATTGTGTGCAGGTGCGAGCAAGTCCTCTGGAAACCTTCGTCGCGCTAATGGGACCGCCTAGGATGTCGCACACCACGGTCGTGAGCGGGACCTACACGGTGCAGTCTCTCGACGACCACTCGGACGTCGTGCGCATTTGTCTCCGCCCGGCGTGGCTTAAGGTGGCCTGGGCGTCTCCGAGAGACTTCTGCCTTGCCAGGTGTGTGTGTGTGTGTGTTTGCTGCGTGCTTGGCATGTACCGGGCAGGCACAGGAACCGGCTCGTTTCGCCGCGGATTGACGTCGTTGGTGTGTTTTTTTTTCATGAGAGGAGAGTCTCGGAAAGGAAGTATGCATACGATGTTGCTTGGATTAGTTCTCTGGACCGCCTACGCAGGATTTTAAGAGTATCTATATAGAAAAACAATAGGGAGGGGGCACGCCGACCCTATCCCTAACCCTATCCCTAACCCAAAAGCACGGATTGAATGCTGTATCCCATATGTTTGCGTCATCGATTGTGCTGCGTAGACTACTGAGTTCTCTATGGGTGCCCCCAACACTTGAAAACAATAATTGTCTCGGAGCAATATGCTGTACTGCTGTCGGTCGGACCTCCACACCTCTGCCATCTTCCATCTGCGTCTTCTCGTGGTTGCTGGTACTACCCGCCGGCCGCTGAACTGCAGTACTGCACGACGACACACCCTTGACATCTAATCGAGTACTGAATACTTGAGTACTGAAGTTGTGTTGCTTCTTCGCCGACAGCAGTGCGGCGATGGTGTCGTGTATGTTTTGTCTTTTTGGTCTCTTGTTTTTTCTGAGCGTCGATGGCAGTTTTGTCCCTACCGTACGGTCTTGCCTCTCTCTGTCTCTCTAGCTGAAAAGCTCCGATCCGGGCCCACGCAGACAATAGTTCAGCTGGGGTGCATACTCTCGTGCTTTCACGCGAGAATGGGTTCTGCTTTGCGCTTCCTTCTCCCAAGTGCCCTCCCACGGCGATGCGCTTTTGTTCGGCACAGGTCGTTTGACGCCAACATAATGTGGGCCTTGGCGATGATGTGGGCACCTTGATATTTGTCTCACGTGTACTGCCCTCTTGTTGTAGGTACTGGCACATGGCGGAGGACGGTTGCTACATCATGGCCCTGTCGAGCATGGAGCACCATGATTGCCCTCCCGACCCGGAGTTCGTGAGAGGTGAGACGCTGGTATGATACCTGGCTGCAGTATGGTCAGCCTGCAGGCGTCGGGGGCGCGTTTTTTGTGCGCGTTTAACTTTGGAATTTCAACACATCTAGACTAACGGAAATCGAACACTGGATAACCTGTGTATTGTGATACTCAAAGTAAAAATAGAAAAACAAGATTATATGGACAATTTTTGAGTCAGAGAAAGCACTGAAGTAAAGACTTAAGCCTGTTTCTAGGTTTTGCTCGAGGTACAACTCGCGTGAAATGAACAACTTCCAGTGCGACCGGTGAAACCAATCTACGGAATGTGTGTGCGCCACAAGAGGGGTTAATTCTCATCGCACGGCAAATTCCACGAGTGGGTTCATTCTTGTGTAGCGTTTTGTATATTTTTAAGCCGAGCTTTAGCAGCCGCGTTGGCCACAGCTGTTGTTGTTTTGCTGTGTGCCGCAGCAGAGTTTCTTTTTTACGGTTTTGACATTGCATAGCGATGTGATTGTGATGTAGCGCAATGTGATGTGATTTTGATGTGTGATGTATGTGCTTGTCGTGGTGAACGCAATGCAGGCGAGGCTCACCTGGTGTACACCATCGCCCCGCGAAGGGACAGCGTCCCGGGCGGCCACGCCTCTCCGGAGTGCATGCTGTCGTGCCACGTGCAGGTGAGCTAGTAGATACTGCTGTAGCTCGTAGCGGAGGCCCTTCCTCCCTCCTTCCCTCGCTGTGTCCCGCTTACTTTCGTTTTTTTTTCGCCCTCTCGGAAGCAGTTTTAGTTTGTCCTGGTCGATGGTGTCCAGGGCAGGTGTAGCGGCTGCTGTGTCTCACGTGCCTTTTATGCCCGGAGCAGATGACCATCCACAGTAGTGTGCCGTGCGCCTTGCGGTGCCGTTCCGTTGACACAGCAGTGGTAGCAGCACACGTAGCTGGAGCTCCAGCGCTTGTGGTCAAGAGAGAAGCCGCGTTCCTATTTTTTTTTTCCGAAAACCACGATTGGCCAATTGCACGGCAGTTGCAGTGGAAGTCTTGCCTCGGCCTTGCGTGGTCTGCCTAGCTGACCTGACTAGGTTGGTGTCAGTCGCGAGAGTCGACCTCAAACACCCCGGTAAAGTATCTTGCCGTTTCCGGTGGTTGCCCGCGGGCGAAGCGATCGACGCGCGTGAACTAAGCTCCTACGTGTAAACCCAAAACGTAGCACTCGTCCATTTCTGACCTCGTTTCCATGTCCCCGGCCTCCTATGTTCGTCTGCAAAGGTGGATCCTAAGGGATGGGTGTGGAACCGTCTCGGGTTTAGAGAGCTCTACACGACGCACATCCTCATGACCGCGCTCGAGGTGAGACCCGGCCAACAATACACACAGCACACAGCAGCTATTATTAGCGTGAATGCGCGGCAAAACTTGCAAATATCAAATATCCGCCCCGTTGCACAGTGTGTATTCATGTACCGTCGAAACGTTTTATTGCTAACGCTGACCGCACCCCTCTGTATATCCTGGGTGACAGCATTCCCCGTGAAGGACTGCTCTCCGAGACCGTCGGTCAAAAAGTCGGTGTTGAGGGTCACGAGTAGCTGCAGATGCTTGCGCGGTGGGGGATACCGCGCGCGTGCATTCCGGGCTGATGGTCTATTGCACCAAGATGTGCAACAAGTCTCGTGTTTCTGTGTGTCTATCTGACTCGAAGTCCGGTGCCCGCCTCCACAGAGTCCATCGCCATTGCTCCACGTTGCGGTGATGTCAAGGATTCCCACAACTGTACGGTCGAAGACAGCGGTTGTCAAGGGCGGCAACGTAGTCTTTTGTGGCGCTCCGGTGTCGTCGTTATGCCTCGTCTGTTCTTCGAGTAACATGTAGTGCAGATAGCCGGTCTCGTAATCCCCTTGTTGATGTGTTTCATGTCGTTCGTTGGACTACTGTTAACGGCACCCCTCCCGCCCCCCCCCCGCCCCCCCCCACGGATTGCACTCTCAATACGACAATGACAGGTGCGCGACGTGATCGAGGCCGAGCGATTCATGACCCCGCGCATCAGCCTCCGCCCCGACCCCGCCGCCGGCGGTTTCGACAACGGACAGATCGGGGTGGGCCCCAGGTCCCCCGACGGGAGCCCTTTCCTGTTCGAGGTCTTGGGGCCGACGGGGCCAGAGTCGAGGCAGGAGACGGGGGGGGCTCCGGCGACTGAAAATGTATTGGACTGTTCCAGGAGGGGGGGGGCGACGTCGCTGGAGACGTGTCCTCCGCCGACGCTGGACGCTAGAAGGTGGACGGAGGCGGTGGGGTCGAACTTCATGGTGCGCGGCGCGTCGTACCCGACCAATAGGGTCAAGGTGGCTTCGGCTAAGCAGGTGAGAGAGGGTTCTGTCAGCACAACTTTTTTTTTGGGAGGGGAGGTGCTTTTCAAGAGTTTACACATATTGGAATGAAACGAAGTAAAAAAAGGATCATATTTAGTAATTCTTGATAAAACAGGAGTATAAAAAAATCAGCGCCAGATTTTATGACTGCTTTGTTTTATTGGTTGGTGTGATACTTGCTACCTATTGATTTAGGTAGAATAGGCCAGACAACAAAAAATTCCTGACGTGCTTCACACGTTGAGAAGACGTTCGGTTTCGTCCTCTCACTTGGTCTTACATGGAGCCATGTAACTGCTTCTGTCTCCACTGGAGCCGTGCAACTGCTTCCCGTCCCCAGAACGTGATACTGTATGGGTTGGCCCTTTAGCGACGGCGTTGTGGTCGTTTCTTTGTAGGAAAGCAACGCTTGTTTGGCACGCCGCTGCATACATCGATGGTCAGGATGTTTGCATGTCGTTCACAACGTTCCTATTACACAACTATGCAACAAGGGCATCGTATGGTAGATCAGCACATGTCGGGGCGGCGTACAATGATTCCATGAGTTGCGGATTCTGGTAGCTGTCCACGCGACTAGTGTGTGTTGGAGCTTTGCTGCGCCTAGTCGAATGGACGTCGTGATGAGATTCTCTGCCGATGCGTCAGATGTCTGATGTGAAGGGCTTCAACCCCCCCGCTCCAATTACGCCACACTCAGATGTTCCGGTTGCGAGCAGTGGACCTCTTTGTGCTCCCGGAGCCCGCGACGCACCTGGCGGCGCACCATGGCAACCGCGTTCAGATCGCCAGAAAGGTGCGGCGAAACTCATGCCGTTTGGACGTCTCACGGTCATTGGGGGCAAACGAGACAGTGCGACCCAACGCAGTATGTAGAAAGTGGGCTTGTGAAGGGAGTCAGCTTCGATGAAGCATTGTTGTCGGTTACTGACGATGTTTGTTTCTGGCTATCATGGTACCTTGGTACCTTCGAGGGGACGGTCTGTTTCATCGCCTTTCCTCACCTTTCATGTCATCTCATCTCAATTTGTCACTTTTCATCACCTTTCATCGCCTACTTGTGGGGTCGCGGTGCTGGTCTGTGTCTCGAGGTCGTGATTTTTCGACGCGTCACCCGTACTATGTAGCCATGGCGAGCCGCCCACGCTGCCCTCAAATGTAATACAAGTATCAATACTCTCTTCGTGCAGTAGTATTTAGACCGGTTTACCCCGTTTTGGGTGGTAATACACCTGGCGTTTCAATTTCGTGAAGGCAACGTGGTCTAATCGAAGGTGATGTGTTTCTGATAGAATTTGTTGTATCTTGGTATTGTTCTGTATTGTACAATCGTATGCATACAGGCCGGGGAGACGTCGTTCGTGTGGGTGCTGCAGATCATGGTGCCAGGCCCTCCTCACTACGCGTTCGTGTGCTACTTCACTCCAGCGGCTGACACGTGAGTGCTCGCGGCATCGTCCGACAACAACAAGCTCCTATAATAACATAATTTATTTGTTTCTTTTACTGGTGTTTGCTCAAGGCTTTTTGTGCGAAGCGCCCATTGTCGGTTACGGCTATTTTTTCTGGTGTTTGCTGGAGTGCGAAGAGCCGATTGTCGGCGATTTATGCTTGTTTCCTAGGTTACGGTTTGTGGACGGAGCGGCTTCGCAGCACGACTGCCGTGTAGCAGGGGGGCCGTTTGGGCGTTGGCCTAAATGCTGGCGGCTTTGATAGCACAGCGTGAGCTACATCTGACCGTTCGTCCTTTCTTTTACCCTGTGTCTCGGGTAGTATCTAGCCATTACTTTCATGTATTTTGCTCTGTATCTCGACCACTGCTACCATTTAATCATCGGCAGACTCAATTGTCTGAGGTGTTTCTCTCTCTCCTCCCCCCTCTCTCTCCTTCTCGGCTCCTTTCACGTCTGTGTGCCGTGCCAGCTGGATGGACCAGAGCACTCCGTTCGGCAAGCTGGCCAAGCAAGTCTTCTTCGGCGACAGCGATGCCTTCAGAGACGAGCGGCTTAAGCTCATCCCCAAGGCAAGCCTGACAACATTTTGTACGCACTGCTGCTGCTGCTGCTTCTTTTTGCTCATATCCGACGACAGCTGTCTGCTGCTTTGCTCGTATCCGACAGCAACTCCTTTCATTCGTGTGGAGACATGAGCTTCTGCAGCCGGGTTGTGCTTTGGTGGGACCGCTTTTCTTATTTTTTTGTTGTTGTCGTTTCCAGCGCGGTGCGGCGTCGCCGTTACCTCCACCGGCCAAACCAAATCTGCTTCCGTGGTCGCTGTCGTCTTGCAGCACTGCATCGAACCTTGTTGCCCGTCGCAAATCAGTCTGCGGTTTCAGCCTTGACCCCCCGCCCCCTCTGCGCATACTTCGGTCTGCATGCGACTCTTTTTTGATCCAGATTGTTGAAGGAAACTGGGTGGTGAAGCGAGCGGCGGGGTCAACACCTGCCATCCTGGGCACCAAGCTGAAGCAGCACCATTTCAAGGGCGACAACTACCTTGAGACAGACCTGGAGATAGGTGTGTACATCCGATGCCATAGTCTACACGTCTTGGCGACCACGATCCAGTGCGAAAACCTCTTTTTCCGTTTGTGAGTCGCACGCAGCACGTTACCATTTGGAGTGTCTGTGTTTGAACTACTGTAGCTTGCCACGGTTAAGAGCCTTTGGTGTCCACCGAGTGTTTAGTTTTTTTTTCAAAAGTCTAACGAATTCATCGCTATCCACAGATAAGTCTACTATCCAGGATAGGATTACCAATGAATCCATACGTATTGCTGACGGTGCACCAACTCTTGATTGCCCTGCTCCTACTCGGCTTGGCACATGTCTCAGTGAGTGTAGGCAACGCCCTGTTTATGTCGTAGAATTGGCACGGGGTGCTGCTTTTTCCACGACAGATTTTCCTCGCTCGCGTACCTATGCGTGCCATGGTTGGAAAGCGGGCCATGTTACGGACTGTTACAGTTATTTTTCTGCAAGTTGATCTTATCCCCCCTCCCCCCCTCCCTTCCTGCACGCGCGGCATTCACGTTGCGTTGCCGTTTTACCGTGCGTTGCTCAGCGTCGTCGAGCCTGGCCGCGAACATCACTCGCTTGTGCACGGGGTACGCTAAGGCTTTGGTCGTCGACATGGTGTGGACGATTCAGGTGAGCTGTTTTTACCACTCGCATGTACAACCCGTACATCGAAGTTGCGATAGACGTTGTACGACGGCAGGTAGAGTTGCGTTCACCGTGCACAGGTGGGTCATCCTTCGTTTCGAGGAGGCACTGAGCGTTCCCCTGTTTGGGTGGTAGGCTTGTGGCCACGAAAGGCATCCGCCTCAGTTGACCGGTACTGACGTTTGAGGATACAGAACTTGAGCGGAGACCGGAACGGTTTTTAGCGCGAAGACAACAACAACTCGAGACGCAGTTTTCTGCATCCCTTTATAACCTCGGGGCATGTGCGGTCGGTTTGTCATGTCCCGTGGTGTACCCTCTTGAACCAATCCACCCCCATGGTTGTCGCCACCTCCGCCGTGCACGTGCGCAGGGGAATACCGAGGAGGAGCTTCCAGAGGTCGCTCTGGGCGGGGTACGCATCAATGCTCTCGATCTGCTGGCCGCGAAGCCGTTGGATCTGTCGGCGGCGCCAGCCCCAAGGCCCACTTCGTCTTTGCCGGACGCACAAACCCCCAGCAGAAGAAGATAGGCCGGCCGGGCCACGTCCCCAAATTGAGTCATTTCGGAAACCCGATGCGTGGAGGAAGAATATGCCCTGCTTGCTTTGTGCTGCCACCCTCCGCGCTGTTGTTAGTGCTTCGATGGAAGCTGCCAGATTTTTTGTCATGTCTATGCGGTATCTCGCCACTCCGGATAGGTGCGGCCAAGGGGGAGAGGACAGACTCTTGGCGGATATTTTCTCGGGTTTGTTACAAAGTGTGCGGAAGGGGTTTTCTAGTGCTGGAAGTTGTGTTTGGGACGGCGAAAGGAGTGAGTTTAGTCTTTACTCGTTTCGAAGGGTGTGGCCCGCTAGTTGCGCGTGTAGACAAGCGAGGTATCAAGCGTTGTCTGGCACTGCTACTGATCACCGCAGACCATTGCCTCAGCACGCGCTCTTGAACATTTTTTTTTTCAAGTGTTGCGACTCTTTCGGTCGAACTACAATTACATTTGGGTGCTCCCTCGTAGTGTTTCCTCGTTTTGTCAGATTTTCAGGTCAGGGTTACTGCCTGTCCGCTCCTTAGTAATAGTCTTTGTTCGTGGCTTTGTTGTCAAGGAGGCGCAGCCCGTTCATTTGATACCAACAGCAGTTGTTTGTCTTTTGTGTGTGCGATTCGTCTGTGTGAATATTCCAACGTGAGCTGTTCTGTTGCATTTGATTTCTCGCAACCCCATTGCGTTTGTGTCGTAGACTGGTACCTGGTCGCTTGGAATGAAGGGAAAGTGGTTGCCGTATTGGTTGCTTCTTTTCGTAAGACACGGGGTCTCAGCGAAGCTGGCGGTATCCGACGATCCTGGGGCAAAAATAAACGCAAGGTTGAGCAATTCGTTCCACGTGTGGTCGCATTTGCTGATTGGTACCAAGTTGTCGAGACGGTGATGGGTGGGCTCCAGCCCGGAGCCTCAGAGTTGATATGAACCCTCGTCCTTCGTTTGCATGTCATGTGCACTCAATCTAGACGCCATGGTCTCGAGCTGAGACACAATACGTCTCCAGCTGAGGCTCAAGCACTGCTGAAATCTGTGCAGCCACACAGGCCATACATTTAGCCCCGCTTAAAAAAACAAACGATCTCCATCTCCAAGTAACGATCACTTGGGAAAACCCGCAGCTAGATGTGTGTAACTTCCGCGTTTATTTGCGATCACGACCTACTCCCGCCCGTTGTACACTTGCCATTGCCGTGAACGCTTTAGCCCCTGGTCCTCTGCCCTCGGTTCAACCCGTCTTTGATGAGGACCCCGGTTTGTGCAGTGTTCGTTGGCGTTTGATAGTCTACATGTGCATAACTTTGACTTCATGACGCTAGCCCGTGGGCGAGCCCCAATCCCACTTTTTCACCCTGTTAAGCCGTGTTCCTAACGAAAGACCACGCGTCTACCCAAAGACCAAATGATCCATTGCGAGCTCCATGAACATGAACTCCGCTATGTTGGTTTTTTAGCGCCCCATGTAATGCTTTTTTCATGAACGTTGGGTGTGTACCCGTAAATGATTATGAATCCCGGGGGGGGAGGGATACCCGCTGTTGAGACCCCCAGTTTGACATTTCTGAGCCTCATCACCAGATCACTCTTCACGACTTCCTCCTGGACTTTCCAGCGAAAGCAAAAGAGGAGACTACTGCAGTAGATATACTTGCAAAGGGAGCAACAGCCAACAGCAAGAACAGCGCACTAGGCGCATGATAGGAGAGAGACGAAGATAAACTACTTGGGGTCTATCTGGGTGGTCCTTGGTCAGTCTCGCGCAAGCAACAAGAGTTGTCAAAGGCGCTTGTTTCGCGGCGAGACAACGCGATGGGGCTTTCGAGAAGCAAGCAAGTTCCTGCTGATGTCGGTGCGGACGAAGGCCGAAAGGTCAAGCGATGGAGGGACTGGCTTACTCGCGACAGAAAGACGAACAAGTTGGATGGGGTGAGAAGGAAGTTCTACAGCCTTGGTTCCGTGTACGGTTGCCGTAAATATAGACAGGTTGGTTGCTGACCACCGTCGTGTCATCATGCGTCTCGGGCGGACTAGACTATACGTTCCGGCTCGTGCTCTCGGACACACACATAGAGTAAGCAGCGTCTCGCCCACGTGGACGGCCCTGTCTAGTTTCGGTGATGACGCCGGCCTCGGGTTGTCTCCGTCTGGCCGTTGCGAGCGGCTGTGGTGTCGATGTTGTTTGTTCGGCGGCCGTTCAAGATTGTACAACGCGCAGTCTGTAACTATTTCGCCGAGAACCCGATTCCACCTGTACAGCATCAGTACAACGCCAGTACCGCGAGGTATCGAGACGTATGCAGTTGTGGGTTACGGTGAGTTCTATGTCTGCGTGAGGACGGGTGTAAGTCGTTGCTGACGGAGGTCTGCCCGACCGGTATAGGAGAGGTTGGGGCGGAAGCTGTTAGGCTATAACCCAAGTAACCGTGGACCACCGCCGCGTTCACCACTCTCGCGCTATGCATCGTAGGCTTTCTTGACCGTAGTGCAGTCAAACCGTGGTCAATCCAAGCGATCGCAGGCACGGGGGAGGAAGAAAACCTCGAGGCTGACGGTAGAATTGGTGATCTTCAACGGTAAAAGGTCTACATCGTACTCTGAAAACGGGCAAGAGTACTTGTATTGAAAAAGATGCACGCTGTGTCGATTTGACTCTTCAACTCTCGTTTGTTCGCGTTGCTCGCCGCAACCTACGGTAATCTGCACGCTATGATGATCCCCCGTTACCTTCAGCTCCATGCTCTAACGTCTACACCATAGTGTGTACACGAACAGAGGGGGCGAGAGAGAGACAGACATACAGAGGCAGAGAGAGAGAGAGAGAGAGGCGAGGGAAAGAGAGACAGAGAATCGGTGGGAAGTAGCCAGTGGGAAGGTGACTTTGCAGGCGTCGGTTTCACGCGAACCGCAACACGTGACAATAAAAAAAAACGAACGCGGCGCGACTTGTTGTGTTCGAAATTTGAAATTTGCTCGCCGCTCCGCCTACCTTGAACTTGCTGCTGCTCTTTCAGCGAGAAAGGCCGGTGACAAGCGTAGGCTCGAGATGGAGTATGATGAGTGGCATGGATCCCGCGTCGACCCGCTGGGAACAGCGCACGGACACCTACCTCGTTTCGAAAAGTGGAGGGTGGCGTCCAGCAGCAGGGTAAGTCGAGTCTGCACCGGTCAAGTCTGTACTGCTGGTGCTGCGGGGTCGCGCGTGTAGAGAAACATGCCTTCAAATCGTACAGCGGTAACGGCGTTCGGTTGAGATAACAACCCGGTCTCAATACTGCAGCTCTGTCGATCTTGTGGGTTGGTTCTCTTCGGCAACGTCGTGTAGGCACTATTGGATGTCCGCCCTTTTCTTTGGAGTAGATGACAGGCCGGAGCTGCTGTCCAACTGCTGTTAGCAGTTGTTTGCGGTCTATAGACTACATGTAGGATAAATGTCCCGAAGGTTGCCATATTGCTGTCGATAAGACTTGTGTTCCTCTATGCTAGTTTTCTGGCTTCTCCCCTAGGGCTGCTTGTTGCCCTTGTGCGGTATCTGATTCGCGAACGGGGTGGGTTTGCCGCCACACGCGCAGGTCGCGCCGTCTGCAAGAAGGGCGTGAAAAAAATGATTTCGCCGCCCCCGGTGACACGAACAGCACGAACAGCACTGACGGGGCCAACGTAAAGGTGAGACCATAGAATGGGCAGCAGTGCACTAGCATCGTCAACTGAGTGGGCTGTGAACCTTCGCTGTGTCTCTCTGCAGCAATGAAAGAGGATGCCGGTTGGAAGCCATAAGCATTGGGCCAAAGTTTGGCAAGAGCTGTTATTTTGCTGAATGGGTGGTTCCTGTTCGCGAGCGCCTCTTCTTGCCCTTTCATCCCACGGCTGTTCGCTTTTGGGTATGGAGCAGCTGTTGAGCATGCGGTACTTTTGTATCGCGCGGTGGTGGACCGCTGATGGAGGCCTCGAACGGTTTCTACGCTACGCAATCCCTGGCTGATTATAGCTTGAGTTTGGATTTAGAGCACGCTCGCCGTTTAGTTCGTGAAAGGGGTTTTTATCCCGGTAACCGCACCAAATGTAGACTACATGCCATCCACGAAGCGAAGACTGCTTATTTCTGCAGACTATTTCTGCAAAGGAAAAGCACACAGGTGACCACCGCTGTTTTTTTGCTTTGATTGTTCCACATGCTCCCACTCCGCAGATCGGAGGGGTGGTGCTGGTGATCGGGTTCCTCGCGTTGGTTCTCTGGAAGTGCTGCCGGCGAAAGCGAACGACTCCAGATGGCGACAACGAGGCGCGGGTGCGCACCGGCGCGGCCCGCGACGAAGCGGAAGGCGCCGTAGATCTCGAGCAGGGGGGGTCGCCGGAGGTGGTGGTGGCGGTACCGCTAGCCGCCGAGTCTGCGACTGCGCCCGCACTGGAGGAGGGGGACGCAGCAGCAGCAGTGTTGCCGACGACGGTACCGCTGGCGACCGAGGTTTCCAGGGCCGCCGATATCGAGGAGGGTGGAGCACCGACGACAACCCCTTTTCCCGCCGACGTCCAGGAAAAAGATGACCAGCGCAGCGTTGAAGAGCAGCGTACAGCACTTGGCGCCGCCGCGAGCCCTGGGGCGGAGTGCACCGTAGAGCCGACGCCAGCAGCGACGGCGGCAGCACCGCCGCCGCCAGGCGACGACATCGACCAGACGCCGCGGCGCCGGGGCCTGAAAAAGCGGCAGCGAGCTCTAGCCCAGCGGAGAGACACCCTGGAAGCGGGCGCAGCCGAGGCGAGTCGCCGCGAGGGCGAAGCCCAAGAGAATATCGACGAGCTGTCAGCTCATCAGGCCGCCACTACCGACCGCCTCAACCACGACAGGGCGGTGGGCGAGGCGCGGCAAGATGAGCTAAGGAGCCAGCTCCGCGCGCAGAGGGCCAGCGATCACGCCGCCGAGAGCTTGGAGCGCGCCGAGATTGAGGAATGGGAGGGTCGCGCAGTTCGTGCGGAGCAGCATGCAGGCGAGCTTGAGCACGCCCTTGCCGAACAGGAACATGAGGTGAGCTCCCGGGGGGTATTTTCGCCAGCTTCGCACGTGTAGCCTTTGTTCCTGGGCACGTATTATTGTTGGAGAGCAGTAAGGACTGAGACGTCCTTTCTTGCAGCCCTCCATGAGAATCTCAATTTCGTCCAAGGTCGTATGTAGGCACAAACTCCGGAAGGAAGAGGAGCAGTGCTGCGTGAAGCCCCGTCTTGGATGGTAACCGTATTGCCCTACAACAAAATTCCAGGAATAGAATTCCTGTGCATCAAATGCCCGGGATGCCTGTCCGGCGGATCTTGGTATGTACGCCGATGCTTCTTAATCAATAGCGATTTATGTGCTTGTGCCATCCCGTCATTGCGGTACGGTATGTAGTATGATCGAAGTTATAGTCTTTGTTGGGGTCACGTTCCAGGCGTGACATGTCGGGTGTTCCGCCCCCACCCCCGTCTTTCCATGGCATGTGCCAAATCATGGCGCATTTTCCGGCCGTCGGCTGCCGCATGACTGGACAAATGTGCAACGAACACAACCCGCCCGTTTCGTTTGGTGGGGCAGGCCGTCGTTCTGGAGAACCTTCTGTCGGAGGAGCAGCACGGCGGAGAGGAGGGGGTTCTCGCGGCGGGCGACGAGCACGGGGCTGCTGCAGGACCAGCCCCGGCAGAGGTCGACCACACGGAGGAGATGGGCCTCGCGAGGAGCGCAGGGACGGCGGCGGAGGGCAGCATCCAGGAGCTCTTCGTGGCGAACTCCATCGAGGAGACCGGCATCGCCGAGATGGCGACCACCGTCAAGCACGTGATGGGCGTCGTGAGCCACGACAGGGAGCGCCTGACCGTGCACAGGGGGCTCGGGCAGGGAAAGTGCGGGAAGGTGGAGGAAGTCGAGTTTGCTGACTTTCCCGGGGAGTGCTTCGCGCTCAAGACCGTGGCGAAGGTGATGGTGTTCTACGTGGCCAGTGTGTGCCTAAAGATAAGATGACGGCAGTTTTTTGTTTTTTCGAGAGCCTGGCCTGTGCTAAGAGGGAAATTATCATCTTGCCCCTTCCTTGCCTGCCTTCGCTGCCATCCCTCTGTCGATCGAGCTGAAGCTGGGAACTGCAGCACTGATTGTCTCTATGGTTCGGCTAGCAGCCACGCTTGACAACGCTAGTGCTAACCACCCCTTTACCTCTCGGTGCCTCCTGTGACTTAGGGGGCTGACGAGTACACGAAGCACGCTGCTTTGGTCGAGATGATGGTCTTTGCCCGGTGAGACTACTATGCTAACGTGTTGCCACAGTTTTTAACCCGCGGAGAACTGGGCATCAGGTTGTATTGAAGTTCATGGTAGGTGATTAACGTTGTCGTTGGCTGAGGGTACGAAAGGGCACGAAAAGATCTTCTTTACTGCAGCATTGCTCCACTTCCGCACCCCAGGACCTCCTCCCCCGGCGATGCATCCTCTTTGTTTTTTCTTTGTCCCTCAGGCTGGCTGGACAGCCCCACGACAACCTGCTCGGCGCACTCGCCGTAGACGATTCATCCCCCTTGATGCCGATAATGATGCCCAAGGCCACGGACGACCTGGAGTCTCGCATGAACAACGACTCTTTCGCCATCGGGGACAAGTTGAGGCAAGTACTGACAGCCATATCTGTGTAGCACAAATAGGCCAATCCATTAAAAGTTACCCAACGTTTTTCTTTGATGCGCCATGCACTGTAACCGTGGCGTATGTTCATCGGCATGAATGCCTGAGCTTCAGAGCACGTATGCTTCCACTTGAACGTCGCCGTTTGTTTGTGAATACGGGTGCCTTGCTTCTTTACTCTGCGCTTGTTTGCGTTGGACCTGGACTGATCTGAACATGTTTCCCTTCCCCTGCGGCGCCCCCCCCTCCCCCGCTTCTTGGCTGACGTTGTTATGTTCCATTGTCCATTGTGTGCATAGACTGGTGGTTGACCTGGCGCGGGCCACGGAACACCTCCACGGTATGAACATCGTGCACCGAGACATTAAGCCGGGCAACCTCCTTGTCTTTGAGACGGAGGAGCTCGGGCTGCACGGCAAGCTGGCGGACTTCGGCTTTGCCAGAGGTAGATAAACTTGACAACAATTTTTGGCGCAAATTCCGTCTTGAGGATTTCCTACCCGTTTGTGCGCGGTGGAGAGGGGGTCACTATCGCCATGCATATACGAGTATGTGCAGCTCGTCGCCGACTGATATCCGCACATGTTTTAGATTGTGCTGTACGTGGGTTGAAAACGTCTCGGTGCTTTATCTACCGTAAGGTTGCGAGTCAGCGCACAGGGGTGCGATCGATTTTCAATGCGTAATTTCTCCACAACCAGCAGGGTGCGAGCGCCAACTGATACTTCCCAGAAAAGCTCTCGATGAGATGCTTCCAAAACCGCCTTTTTCCTCAGTGGTAACCTCCTGGTTGTTGTGGAGAAATTACGCTTTAAAAATCGATGACACCCGTATGCACTGACTCGCAACCTTACGGTAGTTGGTCGAGCCGGCGTGTTTTTTGGAAGTGAGCAGATGCACGCGACATGGAATGCGAAACGCCAGGCCATCTATTGAAGGCGGTCGGTGATAGGCATGTTTCGAAAAGCGTCGAGCGCTTTCGCCGCGCCATTCCCCCACCCTCCGATAGTTAGTTGGTTGAGTTTGGCGACGTACGTTTGAGGACAGTGAGGAGATTGCCGTTACCTGTCATACCACAGGAGAAAATGATGGTAGCGATACAGTGTACAACAGGGAAGTAATTCTCGACCAAAACATATGTAGAAACGCTTGACTAAGCGCCGGTAAGTCGGTCTTGTCTCTCCTTGGGTAGCAGGGACAAGGGCTTGCCTCGAACGGGATATGTCGCTGTTTTCACTTGAGTAGGTGAAGGAGATTCCCACTTAAGCGCTCCCCCTGTGCAATTCCTCGAACTGCTGTTCCTACTTCGACGTGCTTTCTGCACGTGCTACACAAAACACGACCCCCCAGAAATCGGTGAGAGTTGCCCGGCGATGATGGGCACCCCGGGATACATGGCGTTTGAGAGCATGTCGAGGGAGCCTGTGGCGGGTGCGGCGGGGCAAGACGTAGTGGGCGTGGCGATGGTGCTCCTCATGGTCTGCCTGAGGAAGGAGCTGAGGTCTCCCAACCTGTACGCCAACATGGTGAGAGGAGAGCGCCTGGGTGCAGCAGTGTCGTGTGAACGCATTTACATTCTCCGACAGGTGTTTGCCACGAAATCCTTCGGGCACGACACCGCCGTTCCTTGTCATGTTGTGTACCCTGGAGAGGGTAACCTTCAATCAGCAATTGTGCTTTTGCAAAAATTGACGATGTACATAGATGGTTATTGGTCGACCGACGGTACGGCAGCCAGTTCCTTTCGGACTTGACGAGTAGCGATGAGTAACGCCAGTTGCTTTTATGTTGCCGGTCGCGGCCGCATGACGTGCACCGGACACAGGCCCTGATCAATTCCGACGAGATGACCAGGCTGAAGGAGCTGTTCCAGCGCATGACCCTGGGTGAAGACATTTCGGCAGAGAAGGAATTGGCACAGGTAAATCATGTGGTACAATTGAATGTGTTTGGGATAGGCCTGGCATGTAGAGCCTTTTGCTAGTGGCCGGCGGCTCGCCGGCGTCGGTGATCTTGCTCATGAGACTTTCCGGTCGGCATCACTGATAGATCGGCGCGCTACGCTCTCCCCTGCTCCCTGCACCCACCGCGTGCGTGTGTCTTCGATTCTAGCAGAAAAAGTTGGGGTTTTGTGGTGAATGTGTACCACACCAAGCAAGAAACGTTCCGCAACACCTCCTCCTCTCCCTCTCCCGACGCGCTCTCTCCTCCTCCCCTTCTCGGTACTGATCTTGCTTGGTGTACGCCGCACGTTTAGATCGACATGACCAAAAGGACGATGGCGGACGGATCATTCGCGGCGATGATGCTCTCCGCCGACAAGCTCGACCCGGCCCTCAAGTCGCCTGAGATGGTGAGGGTAGTGCCGCCCGTTCGCTGTCTGCCCTAGACTATGATGTAGAGCTGTGAGAAAGAAAAAAAAACCTGTGGCCTTCTTCCGGTGTTGCTCCGGCCGATACATTCAGAACTTTGTCCGTAAGGTGTATCGTCCAGAATAAGTGGGACCAGACGTACTCACGCAAATGCATGGCGATTACTCCAAGCAGAGCGGAAAAGGCCCGGTGGGGGACAAGACTGCGTTGCCTGTGGCCGGAGGGTACGGAGGGTACGACCGAAAATGGGCGGGTGAAGAACCGGACCGGGCTGGCGTGCCTTAGAAAATAGAAAGGGAGGCCTTCAGTGGGTCTGAAGTAGTATGACAACGGGGATAAAACGAAGCAATCGTTGCTTTCATCTGAACAGCTGGTGTGCATGTGCATGGGAGTTCTCCCTGGACCTCTCGAGAAATATTCAAAGCCCCCCCCCCCCCCC